TAGTGAGTTATGTGCAAATATCTTCTTGATGGGCTCTCTCTTAGAAGTTATCAGCAACATAGTTTTGCTTCTTCTCTAAGAGTTTGTCTTGTATGACTAATACAAGAGGCAACAACAATAACTTCCTTAACAGCTAGCTACCATTTTGCATCCTCCCTAATGATTCAAACATAGAATAATTCTGTGCATAGAGGGGTAATGGCAGCTTATTCCTCTATCACAGTGGTTCTCAACCTTTTTATACCGGCGACCCCGGTCATAAGGACGCGGCGCACATGCGCGGCGACGTCCCCATGCACGGTGTGCATGCGCGGCGACGTCCCCATGCACGGTGCGCATGTGCGGTGATGTTCCCATGCATGGTGCGCATGCGTGGTGGCGTCCCCATGCGCCGCCCCATGCACGGTGCACATGCGCGGTGCCGCCAGCTGAGAAAAAAAATGGTGGATCGCGTTGTTTGGCGACCCCCGTGAAATGGTCGTTCGACCCCAAATGGGGTCGTGACCCACAGGTTGAGAACCGCTGCTCTATCAACAGTGGAGAAAACAATGTAGTTCTGAAAGAAGGAAAAAGTTAAATGAAAACAAATAATCCTTGCCAATATAAGAGAAGGGAGTGCTGCTTTACTGTTGTGTAGAATGGTATTCAGTAACAAAGTTGTCAAGTCCCAGCTGAGAAGCCAACGAAGCAAAACACCAGAGATATTGCGATCTCTAATGTAAACTTTATTAGGCATTAGCATACCGGTACGATAGAAGGAAAGCTAGCTCCAAGAATATGATGGGAAACAGATAATTAAAAGAGTAAAATTTTCCTTCCCCTCTCTAATAGTTCAGGTCACACTGTCCAATTAATTTTCCAGCAATTGTTATGAGAAGAAAGTTCGGTTTGCCAAAACATCTCTTTAGCAGCTTTGGCTCTCACACCTATAAGGAGCACCTGTGGATCCCAAACTCTACCATCTCACCCCCTGTAACTGTAAACAAACTAGAAGCACTACGGCAGTCCTAAAGACAGTAAATTTTGTAGCTTGACAGAAATGGTATTATTCAGTGCTTTTTTTGTAAAAAAAAAAAAAAAAAAGGTGCCGGAACTCATACATATCATACAACCCGCCTTGCCTACTCTACAAGGTTTACCTTTATAGTTGAAAAAAAAAACCCTTCAATTTTTAGTGTATCTAAAAGACTAGGATTTTGTTTAAGGTAAGTTAATACTATTAATGTTACCATGCACTTGTGGCTTTAAATTACAAGAAGGCATTTTATTAATCTTTTGGGACATTTATCATTGGCATACCCAATTTGTTTAATCAGTGGAAATGTCAGCTTTCTATTTGGAATGAAATTGGCCCAATAAAACAAAATTTGGTTGCTTGTAAAAGATTGAATTATTTTTAAGAAGTTGTCAAACAAAGTGGAAAAATTTACATTTGGAGTTTAATATGGATATTGACTTGAAACAAATTAAAGTTGAAACTTTGTCAGTGAACAGATTACTTTTAATTTACCTTTAAGTTAAACCCAATTTAATAAATAAATCTGATTAAACCTCATACTGTAGGTCTACGTTTACATCTGGCCAATGCATAACACTATATATTATTATTAATAATATCCTCAAATCACAAGACATTGGCTTAATGCATATTCTTCCCATCTGCAGTTTGAATATAAAGTATGAAAGATTAAAAAGACATTCCAGCTTTTGAACTACCCAAGGAACTGAAACAGCAAAGTTTTGCTGTCGGGCAAGCTTCCACGCCAGCCACCTTTCTTTCCTCTCACTTCGCTTCTTTTTAACCTCACACCCCATCTTCTGTAAGGGAAGGCAAAAGGCTTGCTCACCCTCTCATGAAAGATGGGTTCCATGTTTATGTGTTTCCCACCGCCACTATCGGCTTCCACACATGGTCTGACCCAGCCAATCAAGCCATGCTCTGGCTGTGGTGTTCCAACGCCTCATGGCTCCTCCAAGAGGAGGCAGACAGTGCCAGAGGGGACCCTGCTCACACCGTACCGCCATCGGGGCATTTTCAAAATCAAACAAGGATAGGAAGGGAAACAATAGGAAAAGAACGCAACTCTGGAAAATCCATCGAAAAAAGGTGCCAGAATTCTGTTCCGGTGCGTTCTATGACAAAAAACCCTCTGGTATTATTATATTTTTCATCTAGCCTTTTTTTATATTTGATCTACTCAGGGTGGTAGACATACTTAATACTCCTGCCCCCTATTTTCTCCACAACTCTATGAAAGAGATTGGGCCACGAGAAAGTGGCATAAATAATTCATTATCCTCCTTTTAGGTCAACATCTTAATCCAGGAGTGTCAAACTCAATTTCATTGAGGGCCACATCAGCATTGTGGTTGCCCTCGGGGGGCTAGGTGGGTGTGGCCAGGGTGAGTGCAGCCTACTGGGTGGGCATGGCTAGCTCTAGATCGTTCGCATCAAGGGTGCCTGTGGGGGCTCAGCCTCTTGATGCTGTGAGAAGAGCACCCCACTGCCTGCCAAAACCCCTCCCCCAGAGCCCATGAAGCCGGATATGTGAAGTAGGCCAGAGCCATTTGCTGGCCACTTCCAGGCGATGGTGCATTCCTTCATTCCTTACAAAGGGTGACATCTCTCCAGCATGCATCCAGGGGGCGGAGTCCACGCACCAGGAGCTGGTTCCTTGCTGTTTCCAGATGGCCTTGTGGAGCTAAGACTGAATACGTTTCAGCATAGATGGCCACCACAAAATTGTACATTGGCTCCCAGCCAGCCTGGGCCAGGGCCAAGGCAGCAGGGGCCATTCCCTCACTGTTTCCAGGATGGCTTCGCGGGCCACATGAAACCACTTCGCGGGCCGCATCTGGCCCGCAGGCCTTGTGTTTGACATATCTGCCTTAATCACTGCCTTAAACATAATGAATATTTGGGAAATATTTGGGAAAATATGGAAAAAAACAACCCAGGCAAAAATTATGCTTCTATTTTTTAACTCCACCCTGAAGAAAAATGCTTTATTTCATAAAGGATATAATCATTTTACTTTAAAGCCAGTTTGGTATGTGGCAAGGCAATCAGGCTACAAATTGGGAGACTGAGTTCTAGTCCTGCCTTGGGCATGAAACCAGCTAGGTGACCTTGGGCTATTCACTTTCTCTCAACCTTAAGAAATAAATCCTAGCAAACTATTTCTGAAACACTTGCAAAGAAAATTGCAGGGGTTTGTCCAGGCAGTCTCTGATAATCGGACACAACTGAATGGAAGTAAAATATACTTTTACTTTACAATAAAATATGGATTATTCTGAACATAGCCAATCTTAAGAACAAAGAAGTTGAAGTGGAAAGAGAGAGATCTTAGTTGATAAATATTATTGGGAATTTCACTGTAATAAAGAAATAAAATGATATAGGTATGCTGAACAATACAAGCTCCAGTATGAATTATCTTTAGTTTTGCAGTTACATTGCATAACTGTTTGTATTTATCAATGTGAAAGCTATACCTGTAGAGGTAGATAAGTTCAGCTATCAGCCATACCTGCTGAGCTTGTGAGTTCATCTAATGGCTGAGTCCCATTAAGTGAATTATGGTACATTTTATAAATTTTACTGAAGTAGACTGGTTCAAACAACATTGTCACAATACTTTGCAGAGAACAGTTGGGTCCACACACTTAACTAAACTAAAATTGGAAGATGCCTTGGATGTTCAATTGCCCTGCTCATTGTGGCCACCTTTCTTGTGAAGAGAGAAAATAATTGTGAGGAAAAGACTACACAACAATCACGAAATAGAATCTCCTATGATACAATGGTATAGTTCTATTCATTTCCCATCATTACGTGATATTCACATCTGTATTCTCTATTCAGGTCAGTTTATCTAAAATACCAAATTTAAAAATATTTTTGGCCATATTCTTAAATTTACATTCAACTTTGCTAAATATTTTTGTTGTCTTTAAATTATGTAAATAAATCATCAAATGAAATCCAGCCAATGTTGGCTTACGTCTGTTAGAAGAAAAGTCTTCATCATGAGTCATCCAAGCCAGAGATAAACAACATGGCAACTGCTTTAGAAAAAAGGTTGCAGTTTATTGAAGAGCCAGACAGAAAGATGCTTCTGGCAGGAAAGAGAAAAAAGGGCTGAGCACATGTGAGGAGTGGGTTTTTATACCCTCTGAAACCTTTTGTTTGGAGTAGTTTCCTGTTTTAGGCTTTGTATGTCCTGTGTCACATTCTGACCTGAGTCTGGGTGTGCCTTTCTGGTAGACTTGATAGTAGTGGGTTAATCCTATTATGTCCCAAGGGTTATATCCTGCTTCCCTGGTGCTGAGGCTAACTCCTAGAGTTTGGGTAGGGTATGCAGATTTTAGGTGTCTTTGTCTTCCTAAGCTTCTAGCTGGCTCCTACTTGGGACAGAGAGACTTGGGGGCAGGGTTGATTTCTGCTTTTAAAATCCTTGAGGAAATATATTTTTCTGCCCTTTTAATATTTCCTTCTCTGGGAGGCTGAACACATCCCCGCAATAAAAGTCACTAAAAATGAATCTAATTAGTACTTCGATAGGAGACCCAATATAAATTACTTGTCCTGTCCACGTTTCTTTTCAGTATCAGTAACTTTCCCAACAGGCCCATCATCCTGAAATAAGTCCTCGTCTACGATATTCTTTCCACAATTAATCACAGACTTAATTCACCGCTTTAAATAATATAAACATTTTATAGGATGGGAATCAAATCTCTTTTTTATTGGAATGTTTTTTTTTAAAAAAATAAACGGCAGGATAAAGAAGGAATAAATCAGAAAGGGCATAAGCGCAAAGGACACCCCTGAAACGAACATATTCTAGAACGGATAGAAAAACCTTCCGCCCAGGGTGCTATCCCAGAGCGAAAGGCAGCGAGGCCGTGCGCGGAGTATTCCGACACGGTAGCACCAGGCGCATGCGTGAAACATTTCCCAATAGCCCCACCTTTCTGTGCCGATTGGTCGTAGGCAGTCGATCATTTCACGGGTGGTGGTACGGGAGATATTTCCGTCGCGGACTTATGACGTATTAGGTGGGTGCCGAGGGATCCGGCGGTCGGCCGGGCCGGGCAGGTTGGGAGAGATGGCGGAGTATCTGGCCTCCATCTTCGGTACCGAAAAAGACAAGTAAGTGCGTTAGTTTTCCCCCCTCCGAGGTCCCCAAAGCGCCTGCGATTTAGCAGAAAGAGCCACGAGACTTGTGACAGCTCTGTGGCAGAGATCATTTACAGCAATGGATTCCCATGAGGAGCTCTTATTCTTTCTCTCGGTCTGAGATTTGCGCGTGCGCGCTCTTCAGCTCTAGGAACCCCAAGCGCGCGAAACCGCCAGCTCTTCCACAACTTGCTGTTGCTTGAATGCCTCGTGCAGACTGGAGCAGCGCTTGAGATTGCAATTCAGAAGCGCGCGTGGGGGGGTGGGGGAGCGCGCGCTGCCTCTTTCTGGAGGAGGAGCGCGTGGCATAATCGCCCGCGCGGTCTTCCGGAAGAGCCACTGATGGCGGCCTGCGGACGACGAGGGGCTTCCTCAGTCCGCTTGTCCTCTTTGCTTTCCATTACCCCAACGGTCCTTTTTTTTTTATGGCGGCGGAAGCACACGTGAGAAGGCTTTGCCAGAAAGAAGACAACACTAAAGGCTTCAGGCGGCTCTTCTCAGCATTTTCACTGCAAATAGTTCGGGCGGGAAGTCTTCGCATAAATCTAAAGCTCTTGTTGCCATCAATCCTGGGGGGAAGGGGAACTGCTTTTAGCGGTCTCCTGCTCTCAGCCAGGCATCAGCTCTCAGTTCGGCTGAAGACATTTAAGGGAAGAGGGATTGAAAAGTTTCGCCTGGCCAACATATTTTTATTCTTTATAATGCGAAGTGAACACTTTAAAGTTTTTCCATAGCCTTTTGAGATCCTCTGAGGTTTTTAAGAAAGTTAAAACTATGCTATGCACTATTTATTTATTTGTGGGAGGGTTTCTGTCCTTTACTCCCCCCAATGTCAAATATCCCTAAGATAAACACATAAAATTGGTACATTGCAACAAAACTACTAACAGTTATTTGTAATTTAAGCAATAATCAGCAAAGGCAAAAACTCACGATACATCAAGTGATCAAGTTTGACACCTGTGCTCTATGTAATGCTCTTGATCTGCTGTTACAGCCTCATTACATTTTTTATAGTCTTCCCTATATGGCAGTAATTGTTGAAAACAGAGATCCAGGAATGTCTCTTCATTGCCATCTCCCCTTTAGAAGAGCTTATTATATATCAGGTCCAGCTATTCATACCCCAACCCTTTTGGCTTGGAAAAGCCATAGGATATGAATTACCCAGCACCTGGTGGAGCTCATATGACCAAAGTGAATCCTAGGCAACATATTGCAGAATTTATCCCAGTTACTTTTTCAGAACCCATCCATGCAAAGTTCAAACCTGAGAGAATGTGAGCAAGTTTATCAGCAAAATGTGGCAAAACATTACACAGTGGCCTATGGAAAGAGCTTTCCTGTTTTCTTCCAAAAGGGGATGATTCACTAAACAAGGCTTCTAGGGCATATTCTGCAAATGCAATAAAGGCAGCAAAATGTGCTTTTTATACTTAAACACAAGTTCATTTGTATATTTGGTCAAGTTCTAGTCTTCCACCACTGGTCTTCCAACTGTTTCTGTGGATTTATTTCCTACAGCTCCCTGATAATCTAGAAAATTGGTAAAAAGGGGAAATTCCTCACTAAATGAAATTGATAACAGAAGCTTGAATATTTAAAATGCTTCCTAATATTACCTAGTTTTAATTTGCAAGATGTACTATCCATATTTATTGTCCTAAAATGCTTTGTTTGGCTTTCCTGTTACATTTACTGACAGGAAATAACTTGCATAGGTTCAGGAAATTAGCATGAAATATTTCCACATAATGTACAGCCAATTTTTTTTCTACTTTATATATTCTGAGACCCTCAGGATCAAATTTGAAATAGCAAGATTCTTCTATAGATCTTCATTGATTTAAATTGTGGTATAGATAAAACATATCTAAATTACATCCCAATTCAACCATATAGTATTTGGGAATAAACTTAGTTTTGTGGAACTTTCAAGGAAACCAATCTAAGATTAGTTTGTTAAACTAAGACAATACCTTTTGAGAAGTGCTGCAGCACAATTTATGAAGTGTTTTATCTGAATGTTTATTTTGTTTATTTATATTCTGCCTTTATTATTTTTTAATAAGTAAATCAAGGCAGTGAACATATTTATATTCTTTCCTCTTGTTTTTCCCACCACAACAACTCTGGGTTGGGCTGAGAAAGAGTGACTGGCCCAAAGTCATCCAGGCTTTCATGCCTAAGGCAGGACTAAAGCTCATAGTCTCCTGGTTTTTAGCTTGAAAATGTCCTGTCTACTTGATAAGATAACCTTTATTGTCATTTTTTTTACTGTGGGCATACTGGCACACATTAAAATGATTTGATTTATTATTTACTATTTCTGTGCAAACTGAGTTTACTGATCACTAATTTTAAAGAAAAATTCTCTATTTTTGTTTGATTTCAGAGTCAACTGTTCTTTTTATTTCAAAATTGGAGCATGTCGCCATGGAGATCGATGTTCTCGATTGCACAATAAACCAACATTTAGTCAGGTTTGTGTGTTTTCTTTTTACAATTCCTCACATATCTTTTTATGTGTGACTTTTAAAACTTAAGATTTGTAAAAAAAATCATAATTTGCTGAAAGTTTTTTTTAATAGAAATGTTCACAAGTTATCTTTTCTAAAACCTGCCCTTTTAAATTATTTTATTCTGTACCATTAAAAATAATACTTATTTGAATGTGATATATTAGAAGTCAGCCAGTGATAACCTTTTGGGTCATATTTGCCATAGTAAATAAATACTTTTTTTAACTGAAGAAATCTAATTTGACCAAAACCACCTTTGATCATTTTTCTGATAAGTAGTTCTGTGAAATTGCAAATATATGCAAATATCTGCTCTTCAAAAAAAAGCTGGTATGAAAATATATCATCTTTATGACTGTCTCTTCAAGGGAAGTATATGTGAAATAATAATAAGCCTTGCTGAATGGTTTTTTTTATATAGCACAACATAGAGTTCAGTTTTTCATTTCATGCTAACAGCAATCCAGTCATTTTTAATGTCATTAAAATAGGTAATATTTTTTACATTCGAATAAGTCAAAATCAAATATATCACATTGTAGTTTAGGACCGTCCAGTCCAAGGGTAGGCAGTCTAGTGCTCTCCAGGTTCAGCTTTAATCAGTTCCACTATAATAGCCATGGTGAGATTGTAGGCATTGTAATTTTCAAACTCTGAAATGTAGAACATCTGTTCTGAGCTAGTTGTGAACTATCAAAATAGCTTTGTTACTAGGAGTACATAAATCCTTTAATGCACACTTTGTCTTATTTTATTAAATAGCAAATTGTTTTTAATGCAAGAATTTCCATATATTTCAGCTTTTTATCTTTTAAAAATGCTTAAGATTAAAATAAACATTGTTATGAAAATAAGACACCAGCTATTTGCGATGCAGAAATTGCCACACTTAAGCATTGGTTACTAAAGCTAGCTAGGATAGAAGTTGAGAGTGCAATGTTTTTGCTTTCTCCCCTCGTTCCTCCATGTGTTTGTGAACCAATGACATTAAAGATATAGGGAAAATATTTCGGCTCCCGATTGGATAATTTTGCTCATGAAAAGCGTATAGATCACAAGTGTCAAAACTCAATCACGTCACATGATATTTTTGCCTTTATGGAGCCCGCCTGTCGCCAGATTGACACCCCTATATAGATAAATGACTAGAAAAATCTTTCCTGTTAGTACTGCATTCTTATGTATCTCATTTCATTGAGTTTACAAGGAGGTACTCATTGCTGTTTACTGTTTTGTATTCTATTCTTAGACAACATTACCTACTCACCTTACAACTAAAAATTATAACATTGCTTCAATATGTTTTTCAATATTCCAGTCTAGTTTGTATTCCCAATTAGTCTGTTAGCCAAGTGTTAACAAAGCCAATCTGCTTAGCTTTCAACCAAGGCGTGATTATTAGGTGTTGCTAAAACTTTCGGCAATCAGACACTAGGCGCAACTAATTTAACAGAAATATCTAGCCAAAAGATTCAATGTATATATGTGTAGCTACATATGGGAAAAGATAGTTCTTCAGATTACCTGGCAATAAATTGATTAGTAAGTGCTAACATTTTAAATTTTACCTGAAAAAATGGGAGGCTATTTGCAGATGACATCTCACTAGCACAACATGATCATAATGATTGGTCCTTGTTAACAGTCTTGCTGCCTTATTTATACCTTGTCTATCTACCAATAGGACATTAAGAACATTAGAATGAAATTTCACTCATTAGAGTGAAATAAGATACAAACAACATCATTTAAACAGTAATAAATATTAATGCTTAGCTAAAGGCTAAGGCTTAGCTAAGAAGATCTTGATTCCTTTCCTGAAAACTGAAATAAATGAGAGGAGGCTACAGAGAATTCCAAACAAAACTCACTGTTTAATCTAGGAACAATATAGCCGATACTGTTGTTCTTTAATGGGCCTTTGAAAGCATGGAGATCTTGTAGAGCAGGGGTGTTAAACTGCTGGCTTACGGACCTGTTGCATCATATAGAGGCCATGCCCACCCCAGCTCTGGCAATGGGAAAAAAGTTGCAATATGTCGCGATACATCATGTGACGCGGAGAATTTGACACCCGTGTTGTAGAGGGTTTCCCTTGTAGCTTTACTATCCATATAGGTTCATAACTACTTTAGTTTCGGAGTACTTTACAGAAATATATTTTCTGTTTTCCAACTATGATCTGTTGTAATGCTTTTTACACAAGCTAGAACTTGTCTAGCTTGTGTAAAAAGCTGCCTTGTGATTCACTATATTATTTGTTATGGGAAAAATTTGTTTTGTGGTCATTGTTGCTGGTACTCATTGCACTTCCCAGAACCAATTAACAATGAGTACTGAGGTACCACTGTATATTACTAGTAACTAGGTTTCTGATGTCACACCTATCTCATAAATAGACTGAAAGGTCAATTAGCCTGAATTGAGAATGATAAAATATGGAGTAATTTAATTTAATTTGAATTACTCTATCCTGTGTGTTTTCCAATATTTTGGACAAGTTAGATACTTAAAAAACAATAGATATAGCTTATATTATGGTTAATGCAGAGCTACATTACTAAAGAATATGATTTTTAAGAAATCATGCAGGTTCGTGCCAGCTTGCATAAAAACAGTATTAGCAGTTAGAATCAATCATTAGCACCGAAACAATAATTGATAAAAAAAATATTTTACTATGGCTAAGGACTACAGGTTAACACTGGCTGGTTTTATAAAAATATGCTCTGAAAACAATTTTGTAAATATAGTGGTTTATATCAGTTCAAGTAAAAGCTCATGTAAACTAACATTTTTATTAAGTAACATTGACCAACTTAAACTAATATGGACAATTCAATTCTCAGATATTAGATTACTAACTTAAACATGGTTTGTTTTTTCAGACAACTTGATATTAAGAAGAACGGTACAAATGTAAGGTTTCAAGTCTGCCTGGGCAAATTCTTCAAGTAGAAAAGTACAAAGACTGAAAGGAAAATCTTTCTTTAAAGTTCTGCAAAAAGTGAACATTTAGAGACTCATATTATTTAAACAGAAACTCCACCAAGAAAAGTCTTGATAAGACTGGAGACTGTATGGCAATCATCTTGATATATTGACATATATTGTGAGCATTAAGCAGTCATTTTTTATCTAAACTGAATGGATTTAACTTTAAATGATGTTCACAGATTGGCTGATGAGTTACAAAAATAATGTATTATTAATTCCATTTCTAGATGTGAGCTAAGTAGTTGCTTCTTGGTGAAATTAGTCACTGTTTTCATAATATGAATGCTTGAATGGTATTTTAAAAACATGGTGCAAATACAAATACAAAAGAAAATAGCATACAACTTGAAAAAAATATTAAGCAATTCACAAAAAGTTGTCTCTTTGCAATTGTCTGTTATATGCACAGCAGCCAGTAGAATTCCCCTTTTTATTTTTTTTTTCCCCGCAGACCATCTTGATTCAAAACATCTATCGTAATCCCCAAAACAGTGCACAGACGGCTGACGGCTCACACTGTAAGTCCCACAGTTGGAGAAATTTTTTTTTAAGAATGGTGTTAAAAGAGCCCATTCCTAAATATGAGAAAATCATGTTGGCTTCTGAGCTGCTGACATAAAGCTGTTGCAAACAGGACAAGTGATGGAACTCTTAACATAATGATCAAGAATTTGTTAAATGCCTAGGTGTATGCAAAAAAGAATGGCCTTTAACAAACAAATTGATTACAATTTTATTTTCTTTAGGAGAATGTGAAACATTATTTTTGTATTGTTAAGAAGGCATTTATCAAACGTCTTGGTCTTTTTGTCTTTTTTTTTTGCCATTAACGGTAAGTGAAACTTAGAATTTGTTTCACCTTAACGCTCTTAGACAATAGAGATTTCAGGACAACCTTATTATTGTCTGTTAAGGCAACCAGTACCAGACATTTTTAACATGACTGTTATGGCATCAAGGATCAATTATTAAAATAGAATTGTTGCATTTGAAATTAATACAATAGTAATGTGTTGTGAGATCTCTATTTTTTAATGTTAGGGTGGTTCAAAAGGGACACATATTTTTCTCGTGGGAGAAAATAACATTCTCTCTTTCAGCACTGAGACTCAACTAAAAGTGATCACCAGACGGAAATCAGTTTGTTAAACTTATTTTCCATAATATAAAGTTGTTGCGTTTTGTATTTCAGACCATTGCCCTCTTGAACATTTACCGTAACCCTCAAAACTCTTCCCAGTCTGCTGACGGTTTGCGCTGTAAGTTCATACAAGTTCCTTCACTGGTTCCCTGGGCTTGATTGTCAGAGCTCAGTGTCAACTGAAGCTGGTCTACCATATTTAGTTTAACGAAGCAAACGGACCACATTTTATAAAATGTGTCTGAAAATTTTTGTCCTCAAAACCCAGCCTCCCATCCCAAATTTTGGCTACCCACCTATTTTATATATATATATATATATATTGTTTTTTTAAGCAACAAGTTAAAAGCCTTGAGTCATTGTTCTGCTTCTCGGTCCTTGCCCCTAGCACCATTTTTTTTCAGTGTATTTTTGATATCTTGCTGTTACTCAGTGATAATATCAACAGCATGTAATTTAATTTAAAATGTTCCATCTATATTTAGATGCTTAAATCACTTTAATTTGACCTCTCTGTGTAGGTACACTTAAAATTTATTTAATTTCAAAGCTGAAATTTAGTAAATAATGGGAAAATGTGGAATTTAATTTGAACTAACTCTGAATACCTATGTAGTTATGAATTATGAAAGTCTTATTTGTCTACTGTACACCAGTAGAAATAAATGATTTAAAAGGGTAAATAATTGAGCCAGTCTATGATTTGCTCTTGAAGCAGTTAAACAATGCAATGATTAAGAATTAATAGCTAAGCACAATCTGCTAATTATGGTGCTGTCTCCATTTCCCACTGCTAAATAATATGCAGTGATACATCATTATCTGAGCATGTATTAAAATTTCCTTCAGCCTGAAAATTAATTCGTATATAAGCTATATGGTTTGCTGTGAAATTGTTACAATTTTATTGGCCCAAAATCTGCTAGCTGAACATTCAGCAGCAGGTGTATTTCAAAATAACATAATAAACATTCAAATATAATGTTTAAAATTTAGCGTTATTAGAATAATAACAGCATTTTGCTGTTAAGGAGTTGCATGGTTTGTTACAAGACAGTTTGGTTATTAAATGTTTACATTGTTTAACTACTGTGCTCCCCTTTGCTGTAATACAATAGCATCAGTAGTATCTAGTAATAGTACTCTGATGTTATATTCATTTAGTCCAGAGTACTATTTTGAAATTTGCTTAGGATTGTCTTTTACAGGAAAATACTTTTATTAAATTTAGGAAAGTCACATATGGCAACAATTGATGTACTGACAGAATCTGAGCAAATAGCCATTAAGTTATATATAGATAGCATATTTCAGAAATTTGCTGTGACTTTTTAATGCATTTTAAAACCTCTGGAGATATGTGTGTGTGTGTGTGTGTGTGTGTAGGTCTTTGGTTGTTCGGGTTTTCTCCCACGTAAAATTGGAAGTGTCTTGGCGACGTTTCGACGAAGTCCCATTCGTCATCTTCAATGCTGCTCGAAGCACGAAGCTGAAAACACCAGCCTGAAGATGATGAATGGGACTTCGTAGAAACGTCGCCAAGACACTTCCAATTTTACGTGGGAGAAAACCCGAACAACCAAAGACCTACATACAAACACCCGCGAAAACCTCAGAAAACATACATACATACATACATACATACATACATACATACATACATACATACATTCATATATTCATATATATATTCTTATATTAATTAATTGGCTACATTTATATTAACAACACATATATAATTGGATACTAAACACACACACACACACACAGAGAGACATATATATATATGTTTAGTATCCAATTATATATGTGTTGTTAATATAAATGTAGCCATTAGCCAGTTTTCCTGAACTGGGTGTCATACATATATATTGGACAATACCGTATATGCTGGCGTATAAGGCGACTTCCGCTAGCGTTAAAATCGGCGCTGAAGTCGGGGGTCGTCTTATACACCGGAAATACTGGTAGTTTCCGGCGTATAAGACGGAAGTCGGGGGTCGTCTTATGCTCCAGGTCGCCTTATACGCCGGCATATACGGTAGTTTCCATACTCTCAGCATACCGTTAGCAGTTATAGAAGTTATACCACAATATATCTTGAAGGCACTGGGCTGTTGGTTATATATTGCTGTTATTTTTATTGAAATAGATTTAAAATGGATCATAATTTTTAATGAAATGTTTGGGAAACAATGACTTGAATTTTCCCAGACATTATTATTTCAGATTCTTATTTGTAAAGCTTGCTTATTTGAAAGTATAAATTGCTTTCAGTGAACTAGAATCTTTTAAGCTATTCCATTGTATTTAAAAGTTTTGTATTAAATGGATATAAACAGCATTAATATATGTTTAGTAAAGGACCGTAAATGCATCAATTTTTGCCATACACTTTAGTTTGAATTAAGTATATTTAAAATATTTGCTTTTAATAGGTGACCTAATTGCCTATAAAATGTTCAATTTAAGGCATGGAAATAATACTGCACGGCTTGCTTTAATTGTTATGAAATTTGCAAGATATTCGGAACAAAATTCCTCCTCCAGTCAGTAAATACAATTAAAATGGAGGGCTTATTGAAGGAATGTCATGTATGTTGTGTTGATAGCTGTGTTCAATTGTATGGATTGTGAGCAGTTTTAGTTACACTACCCCCAAAAAATCAATATTTGCTTTTAGGAATAGTAATTTTAACATGACATTCCCTTAAAATATTTAATGTCATTTCTTATTTTAGTCCTAGAAATTATATTTCAAAGATTCCTACAAAAACTTTAATGTTGAAGTATTAAACATCAGATTAGTTTCCTTAGTTATCATTCAGTCTATCATGAAAGTATGTGTTGGGTTGTTGATTGAAACTATAAAAATTGCTGTGTTTTGTTTTAGGGACTTGCAGAACTGCTCATGGTCTACATCTAATTTTTAGCTATATTATATATTTTTTACTCCAGTAGACGGCTTCTACTGTCATTTCACTAAAAAATAATAAACAATATACTCAAAAGACCTTTGTATTGTTGCAGTACAAAACAGGTTCTAATTAATGTGACTTGATATTTACAGGTGCTGTGAGTGATGTTGAAATGCAGGAACATTATGATGAATTCTTTGAGGTATGTTATACTAAACAAAGCTTTAGACATTTTTGTAAATGTGAACATCAACTACTTTACTGTAGTTAAAGCTACACTTTCTGATGTTTATAATGGAGTAAAATATTTTAAAAAGTTAAATTTCTGCCCAGTGCTTTTTAGGCTACATGTTGTATGCAAAACTGACTAAGTGATTAAATTTGAATTTATTATGGTTGATCACATAGCCAGATGTGTAAACTAGATTTGGCACCTTCATTTACCCATTTGAGTCATTCCCAAAAACCTGGAATAGGCAAATGTTACTGTTTGATAGCATTAAAGGTATCATTGCAGGAGGTAAACTCTTCCATGTAAAGCTGCCTTTTGAGATTATTTTTTGCAAACACCAAAGCCATTTGATAACTGATGGAAAAAATATAAAATAAAGTTTAAATAAAATAATTATTGTGATGACTCTTTATGTATTTAATTCTTTTCTTTTTGTGTCATATTGAAAATAATTCAGTGACAATAAGCTTTTTGTCTATCTAGGAGGTCTTCACAGAAATGGAAGAAAAATATGGTGAAGTAGAAGAGATGAATGTCTGTGATAACCTTGGAGATCATTTGGTTGGAAACGTCTATGTAAAGGTAAAATGTAGAAATGAATATAGATATAGATAAAGAGGCATACTAAATGGAGTATGTGATTTATTTTGAACCTAAACCATGCTGCATTCTGCTGGACACTGTTGAACTATTGCAGATGAGACTATGATTGGTCAGAATAAAAATATAGGATGTTTTTGTTATTTCAAGTCTAGAACAAAATCCAGAAAGGTTGCAGTGTGTTTTACAGGAAGTTGGAGAAAGTCTGTTGCATATTGTCCCTTTTCAGCAGCATAGCATATCCCACTATCTTTTCCCCAGTTTCCCAGTGCTTTCCATTCCTCTACTTCTAAATGCCCTTGGCCATCAATGTTCCTGAAAAAAAATTTCCATTCATCTGTACTGCCCTGAAAATATTTCTGTCTCATTTTAATCTGTATCTGGAACAAAACAATTTATTTTGAATCTGAACCAAATCCATATTTCAGTTTAGGTACAAACCACCCAAAAATAGCTGTTCTATGCACATACCTAATCTACATGACCAACAGGTAAATATCCATGCCTGTTGGTTAAAATGTAAATATCTTTGAATGTCAATGAAATAATACTCTTACAAAATGAGACAATGTGCACAAGGACAGATGGAAAAATCATCTTCAGAGTGCCTGTGAAGGATTCATTGTATGGCCAGTGATTCTCAAACTAGATGGTGAGGGATAAGACCAACACAGGTGGGTGGCATTAAGAAAAAGTCTGCTCAAGCTTGCTCAAGCAGTGGGAACTCTATCGGAAATTGTTCAAGGTTTTGCTTTTTGTCCACAAAAACCCTGTTATTAAAAAAAATCAGATAATTCTGTCCTTCTGACATGTATTTTTGCTCAACTGTAACATTAATGAACTCATTAATTTTATCCATAGGACAGGCAGGGGGGCACACAAATTTATAGTTTTCAGAAATTGCAGTACCACTAAGTTTGAAAGTTACTAGCACAGTCAGTACATTTTGGGACCTAAGCCCTTTATCAAGAATGCAAAAAGCTCCATTTCTTTCTCTGGATGTGTTTTCACTGCCCTTTAAAGAACTTGGAATCTGAATTACATTAAATTAAACAGTAAGAAAGTATTCTGGGATCACTTTTCTGTCCTAAGTATAGTAAATTTTCTAAGCATATAAAAATACGTTTTCACAGTAACATGCCTTAACTATAGGCAAAGTCCACTATAAATGACTGATACATAATGCATCAGGTTTTTCTTACAAATTCTCTTCTGAAAAGAACGTTGTTTTCTAAATTATGATTAGAGAACAGAAAAATTCTAGAATGATTAGGTTCCAATGAAACTTTGTCTTGGTAACACTGTTGAAACTAAGTAAGCACAATAAATAATATTCTGTGATATTTGATACTTCAGTTCTATTAAAACTTGATGCTATTAAAAGGTTATATAGTTTCTAAAACAGCAATTTCTGACATTCAAAAAAAATTATTAAAATCTTATTGCAATAGACAATTAGATTAGAAAAAGTTATTTTCCTCTTTCCCTTTTGAAACCTCTGTAGTTTGAGCTAATTTTCATGCTCCCATGTCTTATTTGTATTGTTTTTATTATTAGTCACAAAATATTGTCAGGTAGCTTACTTTAACACGGCACTTTATATGTATAGAATCAACTGATTTTTATAATGATAAGATGGCATTCTTTTTTCATTCATACTGAGGCTAGATTTTTAAAATGTTTTTGGAAACTTCTATTTTGTTAATGGAAAAATATTAATATTCTGCTATTATGTGGCTAAAGCAAGAAGCAGATGAAAATCAGGATAACAAAATGAGGAAAATTACTTAATGTAAACTTCACCATCAGGTGAAGTTAAAACCATGGTAAAGAATAAGAAAAAAACATGCTTTAGATTGCACCAGAAAGCTGTCATAGAAACTGTAAAATAAGTTGCTGTTGAAGAGTATGTCAGCTGCGGAGAAGGCCCTCTTTTTCATGCTAAATCTATCTTTGCAACACGCACACAATCTATTGTTGATATTATACACTCATATACAGTATTGACAAAATGATATTGATTTATTTTAATTTTTGTTTTGAAAACTGGAGTTTTTATGATCGGCTTAAATATAAGTATTAGAAATAAATACGTGCGTTTCTAGTTTCTCATAACGCAGGTGTTAGGCATTCCGGGGGAAATCTGGAATGTGTTTGATTCAAATTATTATTTAACTCTGTTATCAATTTAATATATCAATTTAATATATGATATTGTTATAATGACTATCTAGGTGGTTTTCAGGAAGTTATAGCAAATATTTCTAAATAAACATGAATTAATAAGAGGAATGGGGAAGATATGCTGACCTTGCTCCCAGTATCATTCCCCTTTCCATAAATGACATTACTTTAAGAGAGCCAAGGTTCTTGTGTTCACGTAGCTGTACTCTTTCAGATCCTTACTATTAAATATCCAGGATCAAGGCCCAAAGCAGCAGGGTCAGTATGTAATCCCATCTAGTCACAAAGTTCAGAGCAATACTACTTGAAATGGCTAAATTCTGCCAGAATACTTTTCCTTTTTCTTAGAGACAAAAGTCTGGAACCTAAATGTTTTATAGGAGTTGCAAAATGCTTTGTCTAAATGTTTCAGGCATGAAACTTAATAAAACATTCTTATCCAAATTATTATTTTAACATACACAATATATGGAAACAACATTGGATATAAAATTGCCCCTACTGGAAGTTTACCTTGCATCTTGGAAATGCCACCTGGATTTGACCAATCCCTGCAATATGGACAACACTGCACTGAATTTGCACTGGGCATGGTAGATATGCAAAAGGTTGGGGCAAAATACCATACCAATTTGTGACTGCAGGGCTGAAAAACTATTGAACATATAGTGGCAGAGTGCCAAAATAGAGCCTATAATGGAGACTTAGTTGATTTCTTATCTGTGACAAATGAAGCAAAAATTATATATAATCTGGACATGTTTATAAGATTAAATATTTCATATTTTGTATTTCAATCTCTTGTAATTTTTATTGAAATGTGATGTGAATGTGCCATGTGATAAATAATAATCAGGAAACAGTGGTATTGTGGCTTGAAACACTTCCAGAATGTTTGGCAAAGCTCATTTCATGCTCAAAACATTCTGAAACAAGTATTTTGCTTATTTGCTTGGGACATTTTCCCTTTGATTCAGTTCAATTAAATAGAACCTTTTGTAAAACATTATTTCAGTTTCGACGTGAAGAAGATGCAGAAAAGGCTGTGATTGATCTGAATAATCGGTGGTTTAATGGTCAACCAATTCATGCTGAGCTTTCCCCCGTGACAGATTTCAGAGAAGCTTGTTGTCGTCAGTATGAAATGGGGTAATAAACCTGTCTCTATGATTGCTTTATGTCTTTTAGAAATTATCTTATGTGACTAAAAGTAATTAATAAAATCAGAGAGAAAGCTATAATGTTCTTCATTAATCAGTCTGATTTATTTCTTTACTCCCAGAGAGTGTACAAGAGGAGGTTTCTGTAACTTTATGCATTTGAAGCCAATTTCTCGAGAATTGCGACGTGAGCTATACGGCCGCCGCCGCAAGAAGTAAGTATTTCTGAAACTTTGAAAGTATTTTTAAAAAGCATATTATTTAATAAATAATTGTCAAATTGTGCAAAGAGGCAGGAGAAACAATAGATCATATGCCCAGTTTGTGCAAGAAAATTGCAGAAACACATAAACAATGACATAACACAGTTGGCAAAATGAGTTGTTAGAACATCATTAAAAATTATCATGTGCCAGTAATGAAAAATTGATGGGAACATAGAGCTGAAAAAGTAGTTGAAAATGAGCGGGTTGAAATATAGTGGGATTTCCAAATAGAAAATCATAAAAACTTGGCACATAACATTCCAGATTTAACTGTGATTGAAAAGAAGAAAGTGTGGATAATTGATGTGGCAATATTAGGGGATAGTAGAACAGAAGACAAAGAATTGGAGGTCCCAAACTATCAAAATCCGAAAGTTGAAATTAAAAGTTTATGGCATAAACCAGTTGTGGTGGTCCATGGTCATTGATACACTGGGTGCCATACCCCAAAATCTTGGGCAGCACTTAGAAAATCTGTGCATTAACAAAATTTCAGTCTGTCAATTACAAAAGGCCATGCTGGTTGGATCCACACATTTACTATGCCAGTTATAACTTAAGTTCTTAGGAAGAACTCAATGCATATGTAGACCAACACATCTAAACAACTGGCAACTGTAATTTTACATTATTATGTATGTAATAATAAATGTATATGCCACCAAATTCTCAATGACTGGGTGGTTTACAACTATTGAAACATTTAAATGCAAGGAACAGTAGAAAACATGCACATGACACAAGACAACAACAACTGCAAAGAAAATAACTGAAAAGGGAACACAAACAAAGAGGTATCCCCTCCAAAGGCCAAGGGCCAGGTCTTTAAGGCCCTTAAAAATCCTAGCAAGGTGGGAGCCATTAAAATCTCAGGAGGAATTTCATTCCAAAGACTAGGCACTGCTGTAGAGAAAGTGTGCTTCTAGGCCTTGACAGATGGCTAAGCAATGTCATCAGTTCACCATCAACCCAGAGTGCATCAGTCAGCAGTTTCTCAAGTAACTAGGCCCTATGCCACACAGGGCTTTATAGGTAGTTACCAGCACCTTGAACTGCACTCAGATGTAAACTCGCAACTAATGCAGATTGCAAAGCAGAGGTATTGCATGTTGCGGGATGCCCATCATTCCCTGCACTGCTGCATTGTGGACCTGCCTCCGGTAGTCTTCAAGGGCTGCCCCATAGAGAGCATGTTATAGTAATAAAGCCATGAGATGATCAGGGCATGATTGATTGTCTGAAAAGCTCCCCCATTCTTAATGGTGTCTAAGGTATTTCATATTATATTACAGTTGATAGTGATCACATTTGTATAGAAATTGAATATCAATAATTCAAAAATATTTTTCGTTTCAGATTGTCTGATTTAATTTTCTATTCTCACGGGGTAGGATTCTTTTTTTTTTTTTAGCAACATAGAGTGTTGCTGTAACTGAATAACTTTTACGTGTGCTGAAATAGATAATTTTTAATAAGTCTTAAATATAAACAAGGTTGAAATAACAAATGAATATTATGGCTCATGATGATGGCTTATAAGGCCACATTCATGTAGTATATTTAAATATTGCTATTCTCAATCTATTATTGCATACTGTTTTTTGGTTTCATAAAACTATAATAAAGGAATTGTTTATGTACACATTAGATTGAGCAGCTCTTTTTAGATATTATCTATTTCTATAAAATATTGCTGGAAAACAATTAAGATTGCAAAGCTTAAATTCTGTCATTTCCTTATCAAAGGAAATATGTGTAGTACATATCTAGTGCTGTGATTTGTATGTCCAGCCAGCATCAAATTCCATGCAAACAAAAGTAATCTTGTCTGTAGAATATTTAAGAGGAAAAAGTCACAACAACCATCTGGAAAATCTTTAATCTCATCTTTCCCAATAAAGTCCAAGATACTTTACTGATTTTTTTATTAATTTTATCAGGATATAAAATTAAAAAGAAAATGAAATTGGTAGAAAAGGGAAGGGGGAAAAGTGTAGGGTAAAGGGGGAAAAAGAAAGAAAAGCATTGATTTCAACTCTTTTTAACACAGTAGAATAAGATAATAACATTACAGCCTCAACTGTTTACTTTTACATAGAAGTCCAGGGCACTTTAAACTATTGCCCCTTTATCTAGAATTTGACCTGATGCATGATCTAACTGGCTGCTAAATTAATGGGGATTCCTCAAAGTGGCTGCGGTAAACCAGGCAAGTCCATAAGGAGCAAACTGTCTTAATGGCTCCTACTTCCCTAGGGAGGGTGATTGTGGCAACTAAAAAGTGGCCTGATGTAATAACTTACAGTTACAGATCACATTGCAATTATTCCAGAATAAATACCAGATCAAGAATATGGCCTCTTTGTGACTTGGGCCCATGCTGATGGGGGACAAGCCCACAATATTCATGAAATCCCAAGTCAACTCTGACCCGAACTCCAGGGAAGAAAGGTTAACATCTCCTCACAGAAACAATCCTGGGGAATCAACCATAAATCTTTTAAAAAGATTAAGCAGTTCAGAAAATGTTGTTGAGCAACCAGACAGGCAATTTAATAGTAATTCCCTGTTGAGTCTCCTTTCGTAAACAAGGCTTTACATCTTGTTAACCTTTGATGCAGAGCATCTGATACCCCTCCTGGATTATTGCCAGGATCTTTCTCCTACTTACTACTCATGGAGAGTGTAACACTGGAGCTAAGACCAATTTCAGATGGGGAAAGCCTCTATTCTTGCACAGAGTTCAATAATATACTGCAAAAAATATGTAGACAGAGGTAGATATTACAGGTGATTTGCATGTGTAATGAGATTGTTGCTATAGGTTATATACAGATGTTGCTAATTTTATAATACAATAAATGAAACATCAGATGCGGACCTAGTGCTTCTGTAGCACAGTCAATCCACCTAGAAGAAGCTTCTTATAATATTCCAGTTCCATAAGATAAAGGGGACTGAAACTACAAGGTACTACTTTTCAATTATGGAGCTGTACTTTGGAAGAGCCTCTTTCTGAAAGTTAAAATGGCCCTTCAGAAAGTAGTAAACAATGTCCCAAGGACATTGAAAAGTGATTGTGTGCCACTGGAGCATGACTTTCATAAGTAATATATTTGGTTTTATGTGTGTATTAAATATCTAGGCTGTCTATAAAAACATTTGTGGCATTTCATTAATTTAGATAAATATATTTATTTTATAATGGGTATTTTAACTTGTTATTTAATTCTGTTGTAAACCAAGTAATCTTAACAAATTTAGCAGCATATTCATTTTAAATATATCAAAAAAGCAAGGGGCCTAAGATGTAGTACTGTTGCTACAGGAATTATAATTTATTCAATTCCATTAGATTTATTTCTGTGTATTTAAAGCAAAATACTAAGATTCGTTAATGCTGCCTTGGTGTAATTCCCTAATATAAATATTTCTGACTAGAACTATCATGACTAATTTTAAACACTATTTATAGCTTCAGACCAAATATTTTTATTTGCACTATCTGCAAAGACCTGAATACGAAGATAGTCATTTCCTAGCAAAAGGTCATTGATCTCTGCATATTACTGATTAAGAATACAGGTAAACAGCCTTCAATATTTATGTAATGATGGAAATTATATTAAATCCTTGAATTATATTTAATATTTTGCACTTATTCCTTATATAATAATTTGTGAATAGGCCAAAGTGAAGTAGTTACACACTGCTTATTTTTATTTCATAGGCATAGATCAAGATCAAGGTCTCGTGAACGTCGCTCTAGATCCAGAGATCGTGGTCGTGGAGGAGGAGGTGGTGGTGGTGGTGGAGGAGGAGGAGGAGGAGGGGGCCGAGAACGTGATAGAAGGCGGTCAAGAGATCGTGAAAGATCCGGACGATTCTGAGCCATGTCATTTCTACCTTCTCTGTTAGAAAGTGTTGTAGTTGATTGACCAAACAAGTTCATAATGAAACTTTTTTTAAAAGATGGGCTTCTGAATAAAAATTTGTAGTGATACAGTTTTCTTTGTGTAACTGATTTCTTATAGAAAAACTCTTTTATCAGTTTTGACCCTGATGAATGATTGGGGTACTTGCAATATACTGCAGATACCTGATTTTTACATTTAGTTATGGATGAAATTATTAATGTGTATAATATTGAAGTATTATATACATTAAAATACAGTTAAGCAGTTTAATTTTTCCTCTTTTGTTTCTGCTTTTTGTTTATTTAGATTAGCATAGGCACATCTAATCTAAAGTTGTGCAAGAAACATTTTTTTACTCAGTCAAAATGCTTAGTTGCATTAATCTGTATGTTTCTTTGTTACTAAGAAATTTGTGCTCTGTGGATGTGGCATTTACAATAAATCCAATTTTTGACTTAAAAATTTTAAGCCTATTCTCTAAGCATTTCTCAGTAGTTGCTACTTCCGAGTATACCCCCAGAACAACCCAATAAAATTTTTAGTTACTCTGTTTCATCATAAGTGCCATAATATGTAAGATGCTAAGAAAAAGACACAAGCATGTCTTGAGCAGAGGTTTGAAGCTGCAGGACACAGCTTGACAAACTCTGAGTTTATTGCTTCTTATGTACTTGTTACATACATAGGCTTTACCATTAAATGCTGACATTTTACATTCATAGGTTTAACCATTAGATGCTGACATAAAGTTTCTTCATTGGAAAATTCCTTCATATAAGCAACTATTTCCTAGTAACACATTACATGGTCAAAGACCAGGTAAGAACAAATACAGGTAGATCAAAAGGAGAAAGAACTGACAAAGACAGGAAGAGATAGGAAGGAACTTAAGCATATTATCTGTTTAGGTAGGTGAGGCATTAAGTCAAAAGGGCATGACTTTCTGACTGTTTCAGTGGGAGAAAGGGTATCAAAAGGTTATGAGGTTTGGGGAGGGGGGAAGCACAGCAGTTTGCTGCGCGTGCATTTTTCCCCACAATAATAAAACTAAACTTGTTGGGATAGGGTTATCTGATAAAAGGACAGCAAGAAGTTATGTGTTGCAATTTGGTTGTAAGAGAACTGATGGGCCAAAAGTGACTAGCATTGTTTAACAGTGGTAGTCAACCTGGTCCCTATCGCCCACTAGTGGGCGTTCCAGCTTTTATGGTGGGCGGTAGGGGTTTTGTCTGATACTGAAGCACTTTCCTTTTTTTTAATTTAATTGACTTTAAAAAATTTTCATAGCATTATTTAAAAACATTTTCATTAGGTTTTCATAAAATTCCCCGTGACAATTTAAATTTCTGAAAATACACTATTTGTATCGCCCGCGCATAAGTTTAGTTCACGTTACATAAGTGAAACTAAATGGCGCTATAGTGCGACTGCAAACAAAAGAGCCTTGTCTCAGAATAGCTCACGCATCTCCCTCCACACCACCCAGCTGTAACAGACAAGCAGAGCTGGTAGCTGGCGCCCCCCCCAAACCCAATCCATGATGCGCAAGAGGCTTGCACAGACGATATACGGCGCAGGCTCTTTTGTTTGAGGTCACACTGGTCAGTACACAGATTTGTGAGAGTGAGCACGTGCCTTCAGCTGCAAGCAAAATATTGTGAGTCCATGTCTCAAAAAAAGAAATACGCTCGTGGCTATTTGCCAGAGGATCTGAAGATGGGTTTCATAGAATCTGTTGTAAATAAACAACATCTAATGTGTTTATTGTGTCATAAAACATTATTCAATGAAGCCAAGTCGATTGTGAGAACATTTTTTTACAAAGCATCCAAATGATAAGGACAAACCCATTGAATATTTTCAGGAAATATATAAAAAATTTCAAAATCGTTCAATAATCGTTGCAACATTTAAGAAACAACATGCAGTGAATAAAGATGGATTAATTGCCGCTTATCGCATTTCACAATTAATTGCAAAAAGTGGTAAAAGCTATAATTTTGAGCCGAGGTGGCGCAGCAGTTAGAGTGCAGTACTGCAGGCCACTTTAGCTGACTGTGTTCAGCAGGTCAGCGGTTCAAATCTCACCAGGCTCAAGGTTGACTCAGCCTTCCATCCTTCCGAGGTAGGTAAAATGAGGACCCAGATTGTTGGGGGCAATGTAAATATATATATACATTGCTTACTGGTGTACACTGCTTAGAGAGTGCTTGCACTTAAAGCGGTATATAAGTCTCATAAATAAATAAATAAATAATACTGGAGAAACTGTAATACCCTCTATAAAAGAATTTATCTCAACAGTAATGCATCAGAATATACCTGAAATTTTAAAAATGTTGCCCCTAAGCGATAGCACAGTAAAGCAACGAATTGAAGAAATGCCAGTTAATGTTGAAAAAAACTGGTAAGTATTCTCCAAAACTCTTCATTTTCCATGCAATTGGACGAGTCTACCATTGCAGATAATGCTTTATTGATGGCATATGTATGTTACTTTGATGAAAACAATACATTACGAGAAGAAATGCTATTCGCAATAAATCTCATTACAGATACAAGAGGATTATATTTAATACTGTGAAATCATACTTTACAAAAAATAATATTCCTTTGAATAATATTGTTGCATGCGCTACTGATGGAGCACCATCAATGGTAGGTCACTATCGTGGATTTGTTGCTTATTTGAAGGAAGAAGTGCCAAGTGTTTATATATTCATTGTGTGGTGCACAGACAACATCTTGTAGGAAAATATCTAAGTACAAGCCTCCATTCATCATTAACTATAATAATTCGAGCCATAAACAAGATCAAATCCAATGCAAAAAATGATAATTTCGACAGCTTTGCCAGGACGATAATGAAGATTTTATTACGTTACTTTTGCACACACAAGTTCAGTGGCTGTCAAAGGGTACATCTTTTGTAGCATTATATGATAGTGTCATACTATTTTTTGAAAGTAATAATGAGACCAATCTGTATCAACAGTTAAAAACAGTAAAGAATGATGCCTTTTATTTGGCAAATATTTTCAAGAGATTTCATGATGTCAATTTGCAGCTTCAAGGAGCTAATAAAACTCTTATAGGTTGCCAAAGTATTGTGTCATTATTTATTGACAAACTTGAACTATTTCGTTATAATCTGTTGAAGAGAGAATTTCATCAGTTTCCTGAATTATCATCTATAAAAGATGATGTAACTCCAGAGGATATTGACAGATTTAGTAGCCACCTCAATGAACTTAAATTGGACATGGAAGATATTTTGAAATTGAAGGTGTATGACTGGATGAAAAATCCTTTTACTGCAAATATTGAAGAGGCTGATACAACTTGCCAAGAAGAACTGTTAGAAATTAGATATGATGAAGAAAGTAAATATAAATTCGATAGTGGTGGATATGAAAACCTATGGCAAAGTAAAAAAATGCCTGTCTTATATCCAAATATGTGGAAAATGATATTCAGTTTATTGATACCTTTCCCTACCTCATATCTTGTGGAATCAGGCTTTAGTGCTGTTAATCATATGACAAAGAAAGAAACCGCCTGAATATTTCCGAAAGAGGAGACCTTCCTTTGTTCCTTACAAAAATTGAGCCAGATATTCAGTATTTAGTTTCGCAGCATCAGCCTCAGGGATCTCATTAATAATTTAATTAATTAAAGGTAATTCCATCAAACTTCATGCTTCTATGTATGCAAAGTATAAATAAAAAGATAGATTTAACTACAGTAAGTTGTTTTATAAAGATTTATTCTGCCAAACTTAGCAAAAGTCTGACATAAAGTATTTGGTAAGTAATTATTATTATATGCTTTAACTTGCTGTAACTCTGCTTTATAAATTTTATAAAGTAAAGTTACTTCCCTACTTTATAAATCACCATTACTGTGGAACCGGTGGGCAGTTAGAAAATTTTACTACTAACAGAGATACAAAAGTGGGCGGTAGGTATAAAAAGGTTGACTACCCCTGGTTTACAATGTGGGTTCTTAATCCAGATTTACAGTTTAGTAATCAGAGTTACTAGTTCACCCATAACTGATACCATACTTGTATGCTTTTGTTTATTTTATTTATACAGTATATCTTCCTACAATTGATTCCAAAAACAATTAACAAGATGAATAATTACACAGAACAGTAACAACGTAAGTAGATATAGACAATTCCTAGCCATCATTAAAAACAATTTTGATGTATCTTTCGTAGTAACATTTAAGTGGTACAAATTTATGTTAATCATAGAAACTTAACATCAGTGAGACACATCAACACTTTGAATGCTGTTTTTGACAACAGTATCTCACTTTAGTTCTGGAATGAATGAAACAAAAGGATCCTTCCAAATTAAAGCTTGCTTAAACTTTGTTAGTTGCTGGTGAAAGATAAGCTGCCAAAGGCAGATTCCTACAGAAAGAAATATGCAATTGATTGCTCCCAGTTCAAAGTCTTGCTTTTTATTTGTTAAATTTATATATTTCCTGTAGGACCCTAAAGCAGCATAGTAAAAATCTTTTGTTTTACTGTTATCCCCCAAAAACCTTTGGGAGATAGATTGGATTAAAACAAAACCAATGCCTTTCCTAGATTTTAGAGAATTATTTTCTACTAAAAACAAAACTCTTAAGACACTTATAAACCTGGGCTACCTTATTGGGAGTGCAAAAATCTGGGGTAAGACACTGCTGCAGCAGTCTGTTTTTCCTTCTTGCCATCTGGTGGTAATTTACGAACTATTATGGATCAGTACGTGGCAATTTCCACCAGATTGCCATAGTATGAAGCACGAGGGAAGGCGGGAACAGAACAGTTATCGACATACATTTAAAGAAACGGTTGCCTGAACTTCGTCGAAGGATGAATCAGCAAAGGAAGAAGCGGGTGAAGAAATTAAAAGAACCCGTCATGAGTCAGCACAGAATAACTGGCAAGTCGCCGGAGGAGAAAGGTGGTTCCCTGTGTAAACGTAACTGTAGACGGAAGTCATTCTTCGCTCTTGCGCAAAAACTCCACTTCCTCCTCCCCCGAAAAAGGAGCTGGAGACGTAGATAGCCCGACCTTTTCTGAGAAGCCGAGCCGATGCCTTAAAATAAACCCTTAGGGGCGTCTTCTGATTGGAAGAAGACAACCAAAAACTCCTATAACTTTCATTCCTCACTGCTGGTGGAGATTAAAAAAAAAAAAAAAAAGTAAAGAGGAACACGTCTGAAAATGTTAACAGCGAGCTTGAAGCTCTGATGTTTAAGAAACACAAGCGTCTTTCACTTAACAGACCTCTGAGGCTACTACCTCACTAGAGAGTTAATAAAATATACTTCTGTTGATTGATATATCGGCGATATTTTTTGACAAGCAGGTGGAAAACTAAATGATGGAATTTGCTACTTCAAGATGAGGTAAAGACAGCTTGGATGACTTTAAAAGGAAACGTAGACAAAGTTCTTAAAACAATGGCTACTAGTCATTATAAGTTCATATTAGGTACATAAGATTATATGCCTTGAACATTAGTTGCTTTAACATCCAAACTGAAGGCCCCCAAAGCACTTAATTAGATGGACCCTTTGATCCAGCACAGGTGAGCTCTCCTAATATTTTTATGCTTGTATATAGCATTTAACCTAATATTTAATGTTTAAAATGCCTTCCAAATAATTCTCCAAATATTTCTCCAAATATTTAAAATATTATTTAAACATTTTATCTTGTCTCTCAAGATTCTTGAAATGCTTAGCAATGGTAGTACAGAAAAACAATCTAAACAAGAAGTGCATCAACCATACCTTTAAATCAAATATCAGATGCTACTGTATCTCCTAAGCCCCTGGTGAATATTTGATGCATTAATAAAAGAAAGAATGTATATACGAGGGACGACATTATGAATTCTAACATTCAGGTTCAACTGGGGACTTCTGAGCAGGGCATCCGAGAAAAATTAGCTTTCATACGGGAAGGACCAGCATTCATAATTGACAGGGGAAAGGGCATATATAGTTATTTAAACATTAGTGTGCCTGCTGCTTGGTTTGGAAAAGGTGTGGAAATATCCTGTAAATTCAGAGTAACTACAAAGTTCTGAGTTCCACGCTGTCTCAACGTTATCTCGTTTTAACAGCCTGACGAGAAAGCTATACAATCCCCCCAAAAGAAAATCCAATCACCGCCGATCACTGCCACTCTACCACTTTCATGAGTTTATACATGCACGCTAGGCAAGACGAACAAGCAATGTGCGCACATTGCTGCACTGAGGCAGCATCTTCTCATTGGTTCTCCGCCTTTCCCTCACGCCCTCCTTCCAGCCAATCACTGCTTACTCTTTCCCTAAAAGATAAAGTGGGTTGGGTAAGATCTTCGCACACGCTGAGCTCGCGGTTGGCCGTCGGCCGGCGAGTATCTTCTGGCAGGAGAGGGTTTTCCATCTACCGAGTGGAATCTGCTGTCCCTTTTCTCATTTTAATAAAGCAAGTAAGTATTAGTGGTGCAGTATTATTAGAAAAAAACGCTTATTTCTGTAATAATTGACTTTAGGATGCGGCTCCTGTGTTCAGGGCACTAATAAAGTACAATCCCTATCGTAGTCCGGTTAGTAATTCCTATTCTTGCCGGTGCCGCCTAAGGCTAGTAGAAATAGGGAGTACGTCAACAGCTGGAAGGCCAGTTTCCCTACTGCGTAGTAAAGTACCAGCTCAGGAGGTTATTTCATCTAATAAGGGGAGGGAGGAGAGAAATAGTGGGATGGGGCAACTGCAGCTCTAAATTTACAGAGCTGGGAAGTGGAGGAGGGTTCTTTGTTCATGGAATTCTTGGTGAGAGACCTCTTATTTCTTCTCCTTCACCTTGTGGTTGCATCATCCTGACGTAGGACAGGTGAGCTAAAACGAGAATCTCGAGGAAAGTATAGTAGCATTCAGTAAATGTTTTAATTCTCGTTTATAGTGTTATGCTTCCAAAATATAAACTCTTAAACGAGCAGTGAAGGATAGCATGTTGGAAGATGGAGTACTACTTTTCTTGGTGGCTTCTATATTTCTGCTTCTCTTTTTGAAGTAAAAGAGGCATGTAGATTGAGGGCTAGAGCCCTGAAATGATGCGTATCTCAAATGGCCTGTTTGTGAGTTTCCCAGGCATGTTTGAGTAACCTCTAGCTGTGAAACAGGTATCTTAGCTTGGTACAATACTTTACTCAACACTAAATTCTGAGTTCCTGGAGTTAATTCTTAATTAACTATATGCAGCTCTGGTACATATGTACTGTTTAACAATTGATGAGACTTTAGTTCAGATTTAAAACATGTGACATTATGTTACAATCAGCTGTCTCCATGGTCTCAGCTCATCCTACTAGAAACAATATTTAGCACACTCCAGGCCTCTTTATTAGGCAGGGTCATCTTGTGGGAACTAAGAAACATGCCTTCTTTGTTGCAGGGCCTCCCTATGGAACAGGCCACTGAGCATTATCTTGTTTCTCCCCATATATTTAAAGAAAATATATTTTTATCATGTGAATTTATCAAGCAGATGCAGAATTTAATTATGGTGATACTGAGTTATGTAGAGTAATAATTTGGATATTGTACTTGTAAAATTTGAGGCATATTCAAGATTTTTAATTTGCAAGCAATACTGGAACAAAATATGGAATCTTTTGTCAAGTGGAGCCAGAACATATATGTATAAGACAATAAGTTACCATGAGCTGAGTATGTTTCTTAAATTTTTAAATTACTATGAAGCAAAATAAAAACGGATTTCTCCTTAGATTCCTTTTGAACTAAAAGAGCAAACAAATCCCAACATGAGTGGAACAGGTAATAGAGATGTTGCATGGGATTGCTGGGACATGTTTTAAAATGATTAAGAAAGTTTTGGAGCATAATTTACAAAATGTTTTAATATGAAGGGATTTAATAGCAGCCACCAATTTGGTTGAATAGTGTGTTGCAAGGGATTGCATGCCATACCCACCCTTCAGGCTAAATGTCAGTCTTTCTCAGCTAATATGCCAATGGTGTGGTTTTGTTTTCTGCAAACTACTTTCTACCAAGGAGCATTAACGTATAGAAGCTAATAAACAATTCTTTCAAGTTATAAAGTTAATAATTATACATAGTCCATCTATTTGTATACAAAATGTTATAAATATACTGTTGTACACAATTGGTTTCTTTTTAGTAATTGGGAATCTTTAATGAGCATAGTATTATCCATAGCGTTCTTTACAGCTTATTTAGTTTTATTAGTTAGATAAAATCACACAAGTCTATGAAATCCATTTTCTGCTCTTTGGTAAACAGCAACATGATGGATAGCTGCTGCATGATCTGTTCATATAAAATTTATGACCCTGTCTGCATGTATTTGTTTTATCCTACCTTTTTATTAACTTAAGGCAGCATGCATACCAAATACTTCTGTCTCCTATTTTTCCCATAACAACTAACCTATAAGTGGATTGGGCTGAGAAAAACTGAGAATTGGTCCAAAGTCTCCCTGTCGGCTTTCATATTTAAAGGAAGACTAGAACTTACATCTTCTAGTTTCTTGCCCAGCAGCTTAACCACTGCACCCAACTGTCTGTCTCTTTTAAACTTTTTTACAGTTAAAACAACTTTGGGTTGAATTATAGTACTTTTAATTTTAGGATGAAAGAAAGTATACCATAAACATCAGAGTTCTTTTTACACTCCCAATATGTTATAAAAGTAACATTCTGGCCTCTTTCTAGCCTTTTTGGAGGAAACCTATTGACTTCCATTCTCCAAACATAACCGTCAAATACTTATGAGGTGGCCTTTATTGTACATACCCCAGTGCATCTACCTATTCTCTCTGATCTACTCATAAAAACTGCCTGTCCCCCAAATGTGCCTAGCTGGAGTGGTGGATTAGGAACAGAGAATCTCATGCTGTGACTCCATCACAGCCATGGGAGTTTAATGAGTGATGTTAGATTATTCACTTTCTCTCAGTCCAGTATATCTCACAGATTCTATATGGCGTGGGGCACTAGTTGAATTTGTTAATACCTCACCACTTGTGATGCTTGACTGTATTCCTTAGATCAGTATGTCTGTTGCAAAACATGCCATTCTTGACCCTAAAAGTGCTAATTCTACTCTAGAAATTTATTGAACTATTACACAAATGTGTAGATGAGCAGCATTCATGGCAGTAAGAAATTTAAAAATGCAAATACTTAAAAACATTCCAGTTACAGTACTGCGGTCTCAATATCTCTGTCAGTGAATGTGGGAAGTGGAAAATGAAATGAATCCTTTATTTCAGAATTTGTGTCTGAAGTTTATGTCTGAGAAACCAAAATGGTTGGTGACACTGCTCTGGGAGTAATGAATACATTTTGGGAGCTGTGAAGAAGAAACCCCTTTACATTGAAAATACTAATGAATTTCATGTTTCCATGAGCATGCATTGAAATGTAAGACAATTCATTTGCATTTGCAAAGGTGACCTTGTAGCATTAAAGACACAGAGAAGAATTATGTATCTTTATGTCTCTCATCTCTGCACATTCTGTAGTTTGTTCTGTGTCACTTATCCTTTCTGCAATAGTTTGTTTGCTCCTACTCCTAATACCAGCAACCAAGAGTCTTAGACTAACTGCATAAATAGTGGCAACATTTTGGTTTTCCTTGAGTATATATTTTCTCAGATATTATTCTTGCTTTTTCTGGGGAAAGTGCCGAATTTATGTTGAATCTGAGGAGAATTGAAGTGTTGCTGGGAACTTTGACAATGTTTCTTTTGTCTAGTGATTGAATACTTGGTGAATATTGGTATTTATTTGGAAATATATGCCTTGCTAAGTATTAATAGGTGTGTCTTTATATGTATTTACATAATATTAAGTATATGTTAATATGTCCTGATTATGACTTATAAGTTACTTGAAGTATATAGATACACTTGAAGTTTGACTTTAAATTCTCCCCCCCCCCCACATACACATTTCTCTCAACCTGTGTCTCACACTGAGAAATGGACTAGAGTGTTTCAGCAGCTATCTCTGAATGTGTTACTTTTTCTTTAAACAAAGTGACCTCAGAAAGCTGATGCTTCAACTGGTACCATCCAGACTGCATGACTGTAGTGCAATTTGTATAAGGCTATCTATGAGTGCAGTTAAAAAGTTCAACTAGTTCAACTAGGAGAAACTGAATTGTATCTTCCTTAAACAATTGGATTGACTACCTATAGTTTTCTGGACAAACATAAGTAATTTTTATTTCAAGAAAATACCTCTCTCAGCACTTGTTAAATCTGTATGTCTTCAGATGCCATCAGCCACTCTGGAGGAGACTTGGAACAAACCTTCTTGGTTGTCATTTGTGTTGAGGAATAGCTCTTTACATATGAAAATGGGTAGATCTTCTTTTGGGGGTCTTCAGGAGAACCATACCATTCTTTTTTTTCATTCAGCCTAATTCTTAATAACATCTAGTACAGTGTTTTTCAAACTTAGCAACTTTAAATTGCATGAACTTCCCATATATTGAAGCATGCTGATTGGGAAATTCTGGAAGTCTCATCTTAATGTCAAGTTTCGTAAGCACTGATTTAATGGTGTTCCATAGTTTAATAATCTTTTTTAGTTTTAGTATATTTGAATGGTTTAAAATTCTGTATAAAACTATCCAATATGTTTAGAAAGAGCAATATGAAACGGATATGGATATGGATATGCCCTGTTATGACATCAGGTAATTGAGGCTTCCTCCCCAAAATATTTTTGGCACCTGACTTCAGTTTCTGTTTTTATCTCCAGAGCTCACTGGTTCCAAACTGTTTTGCCCTCTAGACAAATCAGTTCCATCTAGATTAGAATTTTTCCTTGTACACAATAGGTTATTTTACCCACTGAGTGCCTTAAGCTTTCTAGGGGTGGTGGGGGAGGGAGGAAATGTATTATTTAAAATTGAGAAATCAGACACTGAATCAGAAGAATGTGAAAAAGAAACATGAACTATCTCTTACACTATGTACACAGACCAATGATTCATGGTTATTAACATAACCGAATAATCATATTCTTTCTATATCTATTTTTACCTCTCCTCTGCCTGTGGATGAATATATCTGCCATAATTCTGTTCCTGAAGCTAGGCTAATTTTTTTTTCTAATTACCCAAATGCCTGTAGTTTAACTGTTTATTCCATAGATCCATCGCTTCATCATAAAAATGCTGCATTACTTGGGGCAGGGAGAGGAGGGAGAAGATACTCTGGTTATAGGCTTTTGATTTTCTGTAACTTAAAAATGCTTTCCCATTTTGCACAATATCTTCACTTGTTAACAACTATATATTATATATTTTATATATTTATGTATATATATTACTGGGAATACTTTCTGAAAATTTCTGAGCTATTGTTTCCCTTACATCCCCCCCCCACATACCTCACAGACCAGAATTTCGAGAATTCCAAGCCCCCCCCCCAGTTTCAGGAAGGTACAGAAAACATAAATATTAATTTGCTTTTCAATTAAATTATAAACTTTATTTATCCTTTAAAGATATGAAGTGCATAAATCCTGGACATACAGTATATTTAGTACATAGAAGGAAGCTATGTATATGCCATCAGATGAAGGATTGATTGATTGATTGATTAGTTTTTTAGAATGCTGTAATTTTATGACTCCCAGTAATTTTGAAAAATAAAATGTCCATTTAATATATTTAAAACATAATCCATGAAACAGCATAACCATTAATTAAAATTAGCTGGCAATCCTAAACAAGACAACAAGCCAGTAGCCTGCTAATGCTAGTCATGGGCAAGTCATCCTTATATAACCCTAACCCAGGGGTAGGCAACCTTGGCGCTTTTATGACTCGTGGACATTAACTCCCAGAATTCCTGAGCCAGCATGGCTGGCTCAGGAATTCTGGGAGTTGAAGTCCACGAGTCATAAAAGAGTCAAGGTTGCCTCTCTGGCTCTGGCATTACGATTGAAGAACTTAAAACCCTTCCAAGCAAATTTTTTGAAAGGGAACATTAATGCCCTTACCCAACCTATTTTTAATATTGAGCATAATAACAAGCAAATCTGTCTGCTCCTCCTCTTCCAGATTATAGATTTGTATGTTTTATTACAGACTGATCCTGGCGTTTATCATTCTCAATCTGAGACCATAAACAATCGGGCCACCAAGACCTAAGACTGGAGAAGCTGGGGCAGATTGACAATTCCCTTCCCCTAGAATGGCCTACCTCTCTTCCTCCAATGTATTTTACTCAATCTCAGTCACTGAGATCTACTCTTTATTTATTTGTTAATCAAATTTATATGGCTCCCTATTTCATGGAAAGTAACTCTGGCTGGTGTACAACAATCCAGTACTATTTTTCCCACTACCACCACTCCCAATTCTACATTTTAAGCCAACAGCCAACTATAGTTAACTTATTCAGAAATTATAACTACAGAAAAATATGGAGACCAGTGATCTGGTGACATAGTTCAAATTGACACTTCGTGTAGTTTACTACCCGTTGCCTTCTATGCAATCAGTATTCTGAAAGCCTTTGAGCAGCCTGTCTCATCTCAGATTGGGAGAGTCTGTTCTTCTACTTCTTATTCTGTGTGGCTATCTACTAGCTCAGGGCTTTTCAACCTTTTCACCCATTGTAACACTTTTAGAATATGGCAACATCCGAGTACCACCAGGCGCCTAGCAAGGGGTCAAAAACCTGATGACCCCCCCCCCAAAAAGGAAAAAAGTGATAAAGTACAGGTAGTCCTCGACTTACAACAGTTCGCTTTGTGACTGTTCGAAGTTACAAT